TATTATACATTATTTATATATACATATTTTAGTATTTACATTTTAACATTCTATATTCAGTGCAGTTCTATATTTCCAATCATTTTAACTTACTCACTAAAATTTCTGTGTAAATTTGTTGTTTTCGTACTGGTGTGCTTAGCATTGTTGTTAGTTTTATTCTCCTTTCTTAAATTTCTGAAAATGTCAATTTTTCAAAATTTACAGCTACCCAAACTCCAAAATGATGGTAGAGAATTGACCAAGAAAAATAAAGAAATCTGTTAACAGGCCATGTATGCCTTTTAATTCCTATTTTTTCCTCTTTTTCGATTTTTTAATATTTCATATATTTTGTATCACTAGGCAGAAGACATTTAACTATTTAGAAAATGCATGGTAAATTAGATAGAATTGTTACAGTAATTTATAGAACAGTAAACCTTAGAGGACCCTAGCCAATAGAATATTAGAAAAGGAAACTTTGTTTCTCTTATACTTCAAATTTGAACATTCTAGTTTTAGCCGGTATAGGTTATGTGGATAGGTTGCATGTTTATTACATGTTATTTTTTTTGTCCTACTGCTTTTTTCTAACAGGTAAAGAAGCAATAGGGAGAGTTCAGGAATGACTGTAGTTTTAGGGCTAACTGATTTTATAAGAAAAAATTATGCTCACAATACAGTGTGTGTGGTTCCTTTTAGTTTTTATTTTGCAGGTTATTAATATTACCCTCATATAGCTGTGCTTCTTTTCACAGGGATGCACGGGTAGTTAAAGATATGGCAACTGGAAAGTCAAAAGGCTATGGTTTTGTATCTTTTTATAACAAACTGGTGAGTAATCACAATGTAGATTTAAAATAATTGCCTATTTTCCACTTCTAGTTTTGCCTCTTTATATATTCAGTACGTATCAGACTTTCCCAAGGGAAATAAATTTGTGCGCACAGGACAGATTTACTTTAGTCAAAGGCTTCTGTTATTTATGGTTAAGGGTCGAAACAATTCAGGTGACGGCGATGCTACAAGAACATTGCAAAAAAAATTCGAGAACATTGTCAAAGAAGATTCCTGAACGTAGAAAGCTTGCTTGGGTGTGTTAGGGTAGCTCAGCATAGTCTCTGGATCCATCTCTGCTGCAGTGAGTTGGATGCCTGGTCTGATCGGTTGTGCTTTGGGTCTCTTAGCTCAGGCACCACGCCAGGTCCAGTGCAGTTCACTATGTTGAGGTAGGAGCCCCTGCAGAACAATGCCCAGGAGCCCTCGGTCCTGAGGCGTGCAGTGCCATGCTACACAGTGGGGTTTGGTCTTTGCCCAGGTTTAGCTTCACGCCAAAGCTCAATCTTTCTGGGGACCTAATGCAACCAGGTGTGTCATATGCTGAGATACGGCTGGATTAATTTATTTTTGGAGAGTAAAGCTCTTGGTCCTTTGCTTGAGGAGTTAGAACATTTTGAGACCTAAGGTGGTTCTTTGTATTGAGTAATTAATTTGCAGCGAAGAGTTGACTCAGTACTTCTAATGCATTTTGCTTACGCATATTGTAAAACTGAAGGTTGTTTTTGGCTTTGTGTTGGGTGGTGTTACATAATGGCTAATGTTATGTATGCCTAGGAAAAAAATGCTTCTCACAAATGACTGATATCCCTTTCCAATACAGATATTGAGGATATTATTTGTAGAATTTAATCAGTATAGTACTGATATAAATGGTAGGGCAGAGCACTATTTTTAGGTGTACAATTGACTCAAATAATTTGTGGTGATTTGGAAGTTAAATGTTTGACAGCGTAAGAAGCTTGTGAAAATTATTTGGAAAATTGAGCTGTATGTGTGTAGAGGTACATTTAGGACAACATGGGGAAACTGTGTCAACCATTTTTCTTAAATATTTTGCATAGGAAAAAACCATACAGTTTAGGATTTTAGGCATATAAGCCTGTTTGTGTGGTCAGAAGTCCTACATGTCGAGACTCTCTTTCTCTCCTATGTAACAGTTACCTGGAGCTGAATCTTAATCAGAAGAAAAACTTGCAGTTTCTTTTCTTCAGATTTGCAAATGCCATAAGATACTACAATTGAATGCCTTGATTTAGAGTATTTTTCCACTTGCACTTGGTTTGTGTTGCAGCTGAAATACACAAGAGGAATAGATGTCTTATTTCCTTGTACCCCTGTTGCCTTATCATATGGTTGTATTTGGTTTCTGTAACTGTAGGGGAAATGTTACAACAGTCATATGGAATGCAGGTTACTGGATTCTTTGAAGACTGAGCCATAAAAACTCCAATTTAAAGTCTGTATCCATTCTGAAAAATTAATGGGTGGATTCTAAATGTAATACTAAAAAGTACTTCTAAAATTTATTTTCTGATTGCTGTTCATTCAAACAGCAGCTGCACCTACAGGGTTATGGCATGACCATCCTGAGCTGGTAGTTTAAGGCAAGTTTTTCAGAATTTATTGTCATTGTGCTAGATTTGGGGAAGTGGGATATGTTCCCAGACTTCAGGTACTCCTACCTGAGGTCTTAGTGCACACCACAGTTAAGAGAAAATTAAACTCCTACATTGAACTAAAACAGTTATGGCTTGGGCTCTATTCCATTTTTGTCATAGCTTGATCCTCAGGACTGGAAGCAAGATTCATTAGAGCTAGTTTCCTTTCCTAGTCAGTTTGGAACTTACTCATTACATTTTGGGAGTGAGGGTGCTTGAATAAATTTGGGGTTTTGGTTGGTTTTGGTTGGTTTTTTTTTTAAATTGTCTGGTGGTTTGTTTTTGTCTTTTAGGATTTTCTTTTTTTCTTATTGATCATCTCGTAATTTCTTTTTTGTATTTATATATTGTCTTCAAAATGAGCGCTCTGTGTAATTAAAACTTAGGAGGATCAAGGTCTTGAGTGATTTGAGTTTGAGACGAGCCTTATAGCTGGAAGCCTTCAGTGTGAGGCATGACAGTGCTAGCCGCTCACCTCTAACTTGTCGCTATGTTCTCTTTGTCCCTTGTGCTTGGCATTTTCTTAAACTTTGTGCCCTTGGAAAAGCATTTCAAACATACGCACTATTTGCTCTGCCTCTCTTCTTTCAAAGCGATTGGGGAAAAAATTGCTTCTTGCAAGTGTTAGCAAACTTATCCCTTGCTTATTAGATATTTCTAATTCATGCTCGAGATGAGAAGTTAAGCCACGTGGGCCATGAACTCTTGTGTATGTGTGTGTGTTCATGCAATGACTTTAATATTTAGAGCACTTACAAAGCAGGCTATGCTCAGATATATATTGTATGCCTCCAGAGGGCAGAAGAGAGGGTAAGAGGGGTGTGTGTGTGTGCACAAATAATAAGTACAAGAAAACTTAGATGCTCAATCTATTTGTATCTCAGCATTACAGTTTCTTAGTTACTACCATTCAGCCTTCCCGGAACTTTTTATTTTTCTACGTAAACTTGGCCTATTATGTTAAATACATATTAAAGTTCTCAAAAAACACATTCAGATCTTATTATACAATGTCTTTTGCAAACACGTACTGCATGGTATAAATGTTACTTGGGTTACGTCTGAGAAATTTTTCAGTGAGGGATTTTTGATGAGGAAGTCTTTCCTGACTTTTCATCTGTTACTATTAAATACACTTCTGTGTATTGTGTTTTTAGTACAGTCAATTGGCAAGATAATTTCGTTTTTAAAATATTATAATTAAATTTATAGTTGTTTTATTTCAGTAATTGCTTCTGGCATCTGTATGACCTTTGTACCTTTTTTGGACAGCCTTCAAATATTCTAATACAGGCAGTATATGTGTAATTGTAGTTGGCTTCTAACCTGTGTGTGGAAAATGGAGGTGGAAGGAAGGTTTTACCATTTCACTTGTGAGGGCCTTCTCTGTGTGCATTGACTTTGTTACTGCATTTTAGGCTGCTTCCTGTGATTGTTCAGAATTTCATGTGCTTTTTAGTACTGTTACTGGTTGTATGGACAGAATTAACTGACAACCAAGTCTTTCTTAGAAGTAGACTCGTACATACTTCTTGTGTGGATGTGTTATAGTTTTTATTTTAATCTCTTTAGGATGCAGAAAATGCTATTGTACACATGGGAGGCCAGTGGTTGGGAGGCCGTCAGATCAGAACTAACTGGGCAACACGGAAACCACCAGCCCCCAAAAGTACACAAGAAAGTAAGACCTTCATGTTGTGCTGTGTTGTGTTTGCTCTCTTGCACGTCACTGTTTAATGGAGGAATAAAACATAATGTTGCCAAAATCATGTCACTTAATTACATATCTAGCTTGACTTCCAGAACTTAAAGAATAGATTTTTTTGTATATTATGTCAACGTAGTAGTGGCACTACTGGTCTATCATAAAATATTGAATGTGGTTTTTTTAATGTATAATTCATACTTGTGTATGAGGTAAGTATCTGAGGCTCTGTGGTTACTGTTAGCCTACTGCTTAAAAACAGCCTTCTCTCTTTATAGATAATACAAAACAATTGAGATTTGAAGATGTAGTAAATCAGTCGAGTCCAAAAAATTGTACTGTGTACTGTGGAGGAATTGCCTCTGGGCTAACAGGTATGATGTGTTACTGCTTTTTTTATTATTGCAGCTTTTTGGACACCAAGATGGTTACTAATTCAAAAACATTATCTGTTGTAGATCAACTTATGAGACAGACTTTTTCACCATTTGGACAGATTATGGAAATACGGGTGTTTCCAGAAAAAGGTTACTCATTTGTCAGGTATGGACAGAGAAAAATAAAATCTGTGATTTTGTTCATGTAATGTGGTTTCATCTTTCTGTAATTTCACTTGATTTGAACTTCTGCTGATACATTAAAAGCTGTCACCATATGTTCATAGAAAAATTTGGAACTTTTAAAAGTGGCCACCAATCTTTTTACCTGAGAAGATGAATATCTGTGAATGCAGATCTTTTTCTCTGGATTTCCTGTATGTATGGAGTCACTGTTTTTTTTTAACAATCAGGTAAAAGTATTATAAAGCATAACATTACTTTGTTTTTACATTCTTTAGATTTTCAACTCATGAAAGTGCAGCACATGCTATTGTTTCAGTTAATGGAACCACAATTGAAGGACATGTTGTTAAATGTTATTGGGGTAAAGAATCCCCTGATATGACTAAAAACTTCCAACAGGTAACTCCACTTTAACCTTTTCATTATATTACAAAAGCAATTGTGTATATACCTGTAATGCCTTTCCAGTTATAATAGCTAAATTTTGTGGTAGAGTTCTTATGAAATTCCATGGTCTGTCTCAGTTATGTTCCAGTTGTTCATCAAATTGGGCTAGCAGTTTTGATGGAGTATCTGTTACTGTCTTCTGGATATGATTCAAGACAGGGGGAAACTTTGAGGTAATTCTGATTCTTGCTAGTTCACCAACTGCAGACTAGATGACTATCCAACGAAACACTCTTTGGTATTTCAAACACAAACATGTTTTTCAGTACAAGGATCTAATTAAGTCACAGCGATGTCTTACTTTTCTGATCTCATTATTGCTCGTTTTAGCCCTGTGATTGATATAGCCCAAAATTTTGCCTTCATCAGCACAAAAAGAACATCATCTGTTTCTAGAACCTGAGGTACTATGAATTATTCTCTCCTTAGGTGGATTACAGTCAGTGGGGGCAATGGAGCCAAGTATATGGAAATCCACAACAGTATGGGCAATATATGGCTAATGGGTGGCAAGTACCATCATATGGAATGTATGGCCAAGCATGGAATCAACAGGGTTTTGGAGTAGAGTGAGTAATTGTGTTTAATTTTTTAGAATATTCCAAGAATGTTATATCTGAGTTTCAGGCTCATTTAGTTCCAGGAATGCGCAAGGTTTCAAGCCTTAGGTGGACTCCTATGTGTTCAAAGCCTATGTTTAATGATTTGTGTGGACCAAATAATGGGGTGAGTCACTCTGACTTTGTACTCGATCACATGTTTTATGTGTATGGGTGTTTTGAGACTGAAGGCACAAAGACCACCTTCTCTGGTAGAGTTTTGGATGGTGGTCTTGTGGTGAATACTGGAGAGTCTGAGCCAGGGAGCCCAGGCATTTGCCAGAAGGATTGCTAACCCTGGAGAGAAGAAACTACATACTGACATTTTAACTTGCGCAGTTTCAGAATTTGGGTGGGCTTTTAATACTTCATCTCTTGAAGACTGAAGTCTTCACAGCAACTTTTTGTTTTAACATGCCTTTAAAATAACTTCTTTGTTTACATAATTCCTCGTTATCTCTTGCCAATTAAACATATTAAGCCCTGATAAACCTATCACTGGTATTCTTGCCGATTAGCCATTGGGAATTTTTTGCATTTCTGCATCACTGATGTTGACTTACAGCCACCTGCATATGTACATGCATTTGGAGGCAGTAGTCCTATGCAACTAGTACCCAAAGTTTGTGGGGCTTTTTTTTTTTCCTTTGTTCTTAAAAAACTTACGGTATTTTCAAGAATCACATGTTATGGCACTTGACCTGAATTACTTATTAAAGAGAAAAAGAAATTGTTCTATTTTGGTATGAATAGTATTGTAGGAAGTATGTTTTTATGTTCTTTTTTTTGTCTGTTGATTTGTAAATAACTTGACTAGCTTGCATATTTTTCTTTTCTTTTCCCTTTTTTTTTAACCATCCTGTTTCTTTTTAAGCCAATCTCCATCTGCTGCCTGGATGGGTGGATTTGGTGCTCAACCTGCCCAGGGACAAGGTGCTCCTGTAATACCTAACCAAGCTGGATATGGTATGGCAAGCTACCAAACACAGTGAGCTGGGACTCTGTTTAAAAGTGTGTATTTCGTGATAGGCTGCAGTTTCCAGTGACATTCTGAAGACTGGAATGTAGACAATGAAAAAAGAAAATATTTATTTTAAAAATGGAAATGTTTGGAACCTTTAGCACAGCTTTGCTTTGGTGAAGGACACAAATGTCTTCTAGTTCTGCCTTTTTAAGTTTTTGTTCATGATGGATATGGACATGTTTTTCTTTGTGTACAAAAATTAAAAATAAAGTCAATAAAGACAATTCTGACTACAAATTTTGATATAGTAGGAGAAATGGCTAATGAATTTGATCTCTAGGTTACCATTCCATTTTTTTTGTTCTGTCTTCAGTGTTTTATATCACTGTGCTTTTTAAGAGAAATGATGTTGAAAAACAGCAAGTTGCTTTTAGTTGAACACACATCCTGAAATAAACTGTGGACCAATCATTACAACCTGCTAGACAGTATTGATTTTTCAAGAAACCTATGGGCATCGCTCAGAAAGAATATGTAGGTCTTGGAATAATTTTTTAAAAAAAAATATTTAGTTTTTCTACATGCTTAAAGAGAACAGTCCGATACAAAGAATAGATCAGTCTAAAATGAAAAACAGTACTGTCTGAGTAATTTCACATAACTTTTACTGTCCACATTCAGGCACACATTAAAACTTTTCAGAGTTGGTTCGCTTATTAAGACTTTAGTAATTTGCATTTAATTTTGAGAAGTAAAAACGTTTTTGCAAGTATGTTGTTTGTATTCAAATCAGACAGTCATACTTGTGCTTTTACATAAAGTTTGAAGGCTACACATTGTAAATATTTCATAATTACAGTGTTTCAAAAGCATGCTCAAACATAGAAGTAGCAATGTAATTATTCAAAGTAATACTTAATATACTCTACTGCTTTAAATGCAGTAGATTGACAAGAATGTGCAAGACTGACATTTCCAAAGTTGGCTATTATGTAAAGTTACATAAAGAACTATAACAAAGAGCCTTAATTTTAATTTCATAAATCTTTAATGCATCACCTTTTTGTCATTAGAAATATGAATTTTTTGCTTTACCTTATTTGGTATGTAAATACCTTGGTTAACAACCTTGTAAACCTATTTCAAGGTTATTATAAGTTGTATAGTATCTTAAGTGTTTTGAAAAATCTTGATGTTTTTTAAGTCTAGAAATATTTTGCCCAAGAATTTTTTAACAAGATTGTTAAAAACATCTTATTTTAGAGAATATTCAATGTGCCATTTGGTAAATGGAGATGCAGTTGAAACAGTACACTGAGTTGTGACTTATTTTTAATTAAAGTTTTTGTCTTTATGGGTGGTTTGCATGTGATGAACCTGTACAGAGGCTGGGTTGTTTGTGTACTGAGTGTGTATATGGATAAATCATGAAGATGTTTAAATGGTATACTTGGGTTATTTCTGAATTATTTTATGGATACATTGATATAAACTGCCTCAATAAATTTGAAGTTGAAAATGAATGTAAGTTAGATATAAGTACTGTGTCTTACCTGTGACAGCTAGGGGGTGCAAATGTTTCAGCTGTATACTGAAATACACTGAGGCAGGCACAATTTAAAAAAAAAAAGTAGGATTTGCAGTGATAGTTCAGTGAAGCAAACTTGCATTTTAAAAGAAACAGATTGTTTGATTTTTAGAGATGATAGTTCTAAATGAGTGAGAAGCTGTATATTTTATCTTTTCTGTTTCTTACCATGCAAGTGTTGCAAGTTAGAATAGATTTTGAAATGGAAACTTGCAGTTTTGTTAAACCCAGCCAGGTTGTGCAAATAACTACACTTAATGCTGTAGCAAATCACGTGAGGTTTTTTTTTCCCTCCCTATTCTACTTGACATGCTAAATAGTACCTTGACTTTTAGATCAGGTTGAAAGTGAGATATACTGGAAGAGCAATTTAGTCAGTTGGCTCAACTGTACCCAGAGATACTTGTAACTCTGGGCATCTAATGCATGCAATAATGACTGAAGTTAGTGTGGAACCATAAGTGCTTGTGATGACAGAATTGGCCCTTTATCTCTGTTTCTCCTTTATGGTATACATAGTGTTTTTCTGCTCAAGTTAGCAATCTTGTCTACAGGACTTTGTTTTTCTATAAATTTTGTATATATGTGTATATCTACGCGAGGATCGGCCTATACATTGTAGTTTGGAAAAAAAATCACAAGTAAGTCTGCATTTTTGTTATCTGGTTTAAAAAAAAAAAATCACGAGCTGGTAGATACATGAATTGCAAGATACTTTAGGATTTCTTAGACTTCACTTGAAAGCTGGGATTTCTACCTAATTCTATGTGTTTGACATATGACTATGTTCTGGATGCATGCTGGTATATAAGCAGTATGTTCTTTAGGCGCTACTGAAGATTTAGACGATTGCCATATAAATGCCCATATAAATGGGTGTAAGATTAAGGCAGTGATCTTTCAGGTCTCAATATGTAGATCACCTTAAATCTGGTTATTTAATATGCCTGCTGTAGAGCTGGGCCGTACCTGACCTGTGTGTCAGGATGAAAGATAGGATATACTTTCTCATTTAAGTCTTTTGTCATTGATTTTTATACAGCTTTTCTTTAATGGTGATATTTCTTCGCAGACTGCTCAAGATATGGGAGTCGCCAGTGTCCTTTAATGTTTCAATAGCACTGCGAGGAAGAGTTGTAATTTGGATTGCTTTCTACTCAGTAGCGTTCATAAATGCATCACTGACAATTTTTTGGCACCAAAGAGCCTCTTGCACCATACTGCTTTTACGCGTGACTGTTACGCTATTGTAGTTTCTCTAACGAGAAATCAACCACTACCTAACCCCTTACCACTAGGATCTGGATTTCAAAAAGTATTGATTTATCATGGCTTAAGCTGATGCGTGCAACCTGAAGCGAGGTTGTAGTCTGCATTTGCAGAAAATGTTCAATAAAAGTGAAACATGATAAAGGGCTTATCCTGTATTGTCATCTGTCAAAACATTGTCCCTCTTTGCTGTAGAACCGACAACAGGCGTACAAGGCTGAACTTGTAAACTATGCACTTGCAGTCATGTAAAAGATGTTTTATTTAAAATTTTTCATACAAAACCAGTTTGTATTTTGCAGAGTTGCAGTAGCAAGGCTGTAAATCTAAGGTTATGTGTAGCTTTTCATCAGTCCTGCCTCCTTGTGTATATTTGTTAACAGTTTTCAGACATACTCTTCCTGCAGAAGCTTCTTCCTTACTCGGCTAACTTCATGAGACAGCTGTTCACTGTATCAGAAACATTTCCTTCATTTCACTAGCCAAAAAAAGTCTCGCAGTGAATAAGGCTTAGTTTTGCAGAAAATTAGTGATTTGTTTTTCTTGTGTTTGTACACAAGGAAGCAGACTTAAACTGTATGGACATGATTAGTGTCTGATACTTCTCAATTATCTGACTGTTTTGGAACAAGGGCATGAGTCTTTGTTTTAATGATGTGGAACTGTTTCCTGGTTAGCAATAAAAGATTTTGTTGCACTGTTCTTACACTGCAAGATACAGGCAATCTTTTATTCAGTATACTTCAAAAAAATGGATGGGGTTTGTAAAGAACTCCCTTGTTGCAACTAGAATCTTCATATATAGATACAGTTTGGGATCTGGATTGCTGCTGTCATAGCAAAAGGTGGTTGTTCTTTTGAAACTGAGTGACAATTTATTTGTTCTGATCATATGTGGTGCCTGTTCAACACTGGTAGAATTAAGGGTTTCACTATGTAATAATGTTTCTATTTGTAAAAAGGCAACTGCAAGTCATAGCTGCTGGGAAGGTCTTTGTCATGTTTCAGTTCAGCCAACTTTCCTAAATCCAGTTGATTGTTTAAAAAAAAAAATATTTAAAAGATGCTTGTGTTTTTCAGTATCACATGGATAAAATCCCCACCACCACCTTTACCATCACTTCAAATCAAAGAAAATGCTGAAGTGTTTACTGAATGTTTTACTTTAAAAAGAAACAGGACTTTTTGTTGATGAGTGAACACTGGTTCTGTCATCTTTCTGGGGATGTATGCTGATCTACATCATGGATGTGAATGACATGTTCTGCTCACTGACATTTAAAGGGTAATGACTCAGAAAGTTAATTTGACATCAGTAATGATTATTTGAATACAAGTTATTCGTGCTGAAATACGCAGCCACTCATGCTTTGATTAAAGCTGATCTGAATCTTACTGGTTATTAAAGTATTCCTGATATACTGTGGGAAGAAACATTGCTTTACCTTGTTTCTTAGTATTCATGCTGTCAATAAGACGTCAGAGTTGCATAGACAGTATTTTTTTGTTTAGAAGAAAAACACTGAATGGAGTCATGTCAGGGAATTCAGTGTAAACTGACTTTTCTGTAGTGATGGGTGATAGTATTTGAATGTTTCCCTTTGGAAACAAGGGATCAGTCACTATACTTTGCATGAACCCAAGTTCTGACTGATCCCAGATACTCAGCAGCTCTCTTTCCCAGCTGCTTGCAGGGAAGGGAGGAGGACGAAAGGGAAAAATGGTGAGACTAGGTGGCATGCATGCCAGACTAGTGAGCATGATGCAGCAGCGTCGGTGCCAAGTCATATTGTCAAACACATTTAAAATCATGACAGGCTTATGCAGATGCCATGGCAGTATCCAAAGGACTGTGACTGTTCAGACACAAACTTGGTTTATCTCCTTGCTTAAAGTAATGTTGCTTTAAAATTACAAAAATAGAAAACACAACCTCTGTTGTTTTTTTGAGAAAATAGATGAACATTAAACAGCCAAGCTAGAATACCTAAGTTGACTAGACAAATAAAGAAAACAAAGGAGCAAATTGCATTAAGCATCTGAATTTGTAGACCTTTGCTTAATTTTGACCTCTTACCTTGGCAGTCTTTTGTTTGCCTGTATTGACCATTTTGTTTGTATAATTGAAGTAATTTGAGATATGCACAGCTGCTTCTTGAATGTTTTTGCATTCTTTAAATGTATAATTTCTGGAGCAGAGGTGGGTAGGAACTGAATAAGAATCACAAGTCTACCACATGCAACACTGAATAATGCTTACATTTTCTAGATGGAAATTGACTTACTAGAGCCAACTCTGTAGAAGTTTAAGTATCACAGGTGATGATAAAAGCTGCCATCTTCCATTTGAGTAGAGTTCTTTGACCTTAATAAACGGAGAATTATTATTGAGGTGCTGTTCCATGAAAAAATGCTCTTTGTGATTTCTTTGGTCCTTTCA